ACCGTCGTGTAACGCGTGTAGTCGTCGACAACCAGCAGGAAGTACCGCTCGCGGCCTTGTCCCTGGACGCGGGCTGGGCCCCACACGTCCAGGTGGAGCGTCTGCAGTGGAGCCTCTGTGGGAGGAAACGAGGAGGAGTGAGGAGCGGCGCGCTGCCGCCCCTCGACGCAAGGAATGCAGGGCAGCGCAGGCGAGGGAGGGAGGGCAGGCAGAGACCTGGGAAGACCAGAGACCAGGGAGCGAGAGTGCATGCTACGCAGGCGAGGCAAGGAGGGGTGACCAAGGCGGTGGTGCCACAGGAGAGTGTCGTGCGACAAAGCGCGACACTCGCAGGGGGCCGCCAGCTGACCAGACGTAGACGCGGACGCAGCTACCTGAGGGGACGCAGTGGTCAGTGTGTACAGACTCGAGCCAGGTGCACGGGTGAACGTGGCCAAGTGCCGGCCCGTCCTAGCACACGTACAGTGAGTCACTCGCTGACTCGCAGGAGTGAACTGGTCAACCTCCCGATCCTGGAGGTCAGCTCCACTCACCAAGTTCGTAGAGAACGAGGGGAGATAAAGACCTGACAGGAAACCAGACGGGGCGGCCGGACACGACAGAACCGTGGAGTAGTGGGCAAGGACTGGACCCCCAGAGGGGTCCGCCAGGGAGACCGGGACTGGCCGACTGAGCGGCGTGAGTGCGGTGCAGTCGCGAAAGAAGGAGCGGGAAGCTCCTGAGTCAAGGGTGAAGGTGTGCGAGACCGCAGTGGGCGCAGTACCAGAGAGAGCAGACTCACCAGCACCTGAAGCCACGGCCTCACCAGTACCTAGAGCAGTAGACGTACTAGCACCGAGAGCAGCAGCCTCACCAGCACCTAGAGCAGGAGACGCACTAGCACCTAGAGCAGCAGCCTCACCAGGGTCAGGCGGTACGCACAGGTAACAGGCACGGTCAGCACTAGTAGGCAATGCATACATGGCAGTGAGAATAGCATCATAGTCAAGCGCAAAGATATCTACCCTCTGTCCATGCAGCTCCAGCCAGGTGGGGAGCTCAGCCTCGTCGCCAAACACTGTGCGCCAGTCGTCGCTCAGACGGGCGTCGCAGCGGGACTGTGTGTGACCAAGCGTCCCACAAGGCTGACCAGTCCTAGCACCTGTGCGAATGACGTACGGGCAGCGAACTGTACGCGTAGACCTGCTACACTGAGCGTACCACTCCTGGAGCTGCCGAGGCGTAAGTGGCTCGCGTGGACGCCCCTGCAGCTGCAGCTGGCCACTGCTAGACGCTCCCAACTGACCAGCCCCAGGGCGACAGCTACGACGGCTACCGCGACAACCCCAGCTAGTATACCACTCACTAAGCTGCTGGGGCGTGAGAGGCTCGCGGGAACGTCGCTGGAGCTGCATCTGGCCACCTGCCAGTAGCAGTAGCAGCAGCAGTAGCGCGGGTAGGGCAAGCAGGCAAGCAGGCAGGCAGGCAGGCAGGCAGGCAGGCCGGCAGGCAGGCAGGCAGGCAGGCAGGCAGGCAGACAGGCAGGCAGGCAGACAGACAGGCAGGCCGGCAGGCAGGCAGGCAGGCCGGCAGGCAGGCAGGCAGGCGCGCAGGCAGGCAGGCAGGCAGGCAGGCAGCCAGGCAGGCAGGCAGGCAGGCAGACAGGCAGGCCGTCAGGCAGGCAGGCAGGCGCTCACCAAAGGCTGGGAGAGCAGGCGCTCACCGAGCGAGTAGGGCCGGCGCTCGACGGGCGGCGGCCGAGTAGGCGCACGACAGCGGCGACGTCGGGGCCGCAACACCGGCTGCAGAGCAGGGCCGAAGCAGCTGCAGGGCGGGGCCGCTTCAGCGGCAGTAGCAGGGTGGGGCCGCGTCAGCGGCAGGTCGGGGCCGTGGCAGCTGCAGGGCGGGGCCGCATCAGCGGCAGGTCGGGGCCGTGGCAGCTGCAGGGCGGGGCCGCATCAGCGGCAGGTCGGGGCCGAGGCAGAGGGCCGCGCGCGGCTCGGCGCGGGCTGCGCTGACAGCGCGCTGAGCTGCTGCAGGCCGCGCGCGGCTCGGCGCGGGCTGTTGCGGGCCGCGCGCGGGCCGCGCGAGGCAGTAGCAGGCCGCGCGCGGCTCGGCGCGGGCTGCTGCGGGCCGCGCGCGGGCCTCGCGAGGCCGTAGCAGGCCGCGCGCGGCTCGACGCGGGCTGCGTGGGCTCGGCGCGGGCTGCGCGCGGCTGCAGCGGGCTGCGCGCGGCTCGGTGCGGGCTGCGCGCGGCTGCAGCGGGCTGCGCGCGGCTCGGTGCGGGCTGCGCGGGCTCGGTGCGGGCAGCGCGCGGCAGCAGCGGGCTGCGCGCGGCTCGGTGCGGGCAGCGCGCGGCAGCAGCGGGCTGCGCGCGGCTCGGTGCGGGCTGCGCGCGGCTGCAGCGGGCTGCGCGCGGCTCGGCGCGGGCTGGGTGAGCTCGGTGCGGGCAGCGCGCGGCAGCAGCGTGCTCAGCGGTCTGCAGGGGCTGTTTGCGGGCCTGACGGGCGTGTAGGGGCGGCGCGCGGGCCTTACGGGCCTCTAGGGGCAGCGCGCTGGCCTAGGGCAGCAGGAGGCAGCGCTAGGGCTGCTGGACGGCGCGCATAGTGCAGCACGTCACAAGGCAAGGCAAGGCAGGCAGGTACGTGGGGTAGCGCGGTAACCGCAGCGGTAGGTGGGCCCGAAAAAAAACGGTCCTACGGACCTTAGTGCTCTGATACCATGTTAGAATCTAGCAGCAGGAATGGTTGAACTAGCAGCATGCAGGAGTACAAGTAGTAAACCCTAATTTGGGTTGTACCCCATATGGGCTACCCCACTACAGCCTAGACAATATGCAGCATATGTTTGACAACTCCTGTAGAGAGGGCCTCATTGGGGAGTGGTGTAGTCTAAGGAAGTTTCCTTTTCCATACTTCGCGCCCTTGCTTATCGCGTATCCGACTGTTCCCCCCAAAAGTACCCAAACAGTGCACCATTACTACTCGCGACACTCGCCTCGGCTACTGTTCCCGCCACTATTCACATCGCGACCCAACCTCATGGCTCGGGTGGTAAACCGCGCTCCTGTCCTCCACCTCGGCAAATCCCAACATCGGCGCTAGGCCCGTAGCGCACTCCAATTCATCGCGTTACCGTTTCCAGCTATCTTTGCTATATATTCTTCGCTCATTCCTTCGCTCGATAGAATGTTTTGCTCGATAGTGCAATTCTCGCTCAATTGAACTCATAACATCCTATGAGACAGGAGCTGGAAACCAAACTACGTGTTGTGCAAGCAAGGAGCGAGCTGTATCCCCCTTACAGTGGTGTGGTGGCAAGGGGCCGCTGGGTGAGGCATGCGTTGGGGTCAGGCCACTGCGAATCGCGATCCGCGACGCAATTTCGCTCGCCACTCGTCCCGCATCTCCCCTGCCTTGCCACTTGGAATCGTCATGAGGGAAGCGTTGCAAAATGCGTTGACTCCTGGAGACCACACTCACAACCAGGCCCAGAGTGATTTTTTTATGGCACCCTTCATAATTTTGACTTTGACGACCGCACCACCTTGACAGAGCTTCACATGAATCGAAATTTACCCTTGATTTGCAGGTAGTGCGATTTTTCAGCCCGCCAAATCAGACTCTAAGACATTTCTACCCTTCTAAGAACTTTTCTTAGAGTCGAGCTCTGTTTTTTCTCGAAATCTGGCCAAGGCACTGACTCTCGGCTAAGTCGTTGAAACACACTGCATGTCTGTCCAAGTCCTGTCACACAGCGAAAAGTGGGTTAAGTCACTGAAACACTCTGCGAAGTCTGCTCGGGTCATCGAAACACACTTGAAATCTGTCCAAGTGCACGGGGGAAACTTGCGCTAAGTTACTGAACACTCTGGAAATCGGCTACGTTACTGGAAACTCTGGAATCGTGCTCAAGGGACTTAGCCTAATTTTCAGTGCTCTTGAGCATTAGTATCGCAATTGACGGGAGCTAAGTCAACAACCCAGAAAGCGCAACGACTTAGAGATTGTCAACGGGTCCCCACCCTACAATTCTAGAAGCTGACACTCCCCATTCCCCCTCAACTCCCCGTTCTCCATTTTCCCATACTTTAAAGCCGGCAGCCCAAATTGCACAAGTTTTAAAAGGTTGACGCGAGGGGGTTTTTGTGGTGAGGGTTTTGGCGAAAGATTCCGATTTCGCTTTTTTCGTTTTTTTTCGCCAAACCCAGCCCGCCCTCGTATTTCGCCCTGGGGGTTGGTTCAGTTCCCAAAAGTCCCAAATTGCAGGCACGCTTTTCTTCAAACCTTGAAAACACTAGTTCGTCAAGTTTTAAAAGCTTGACCCGCGCGGCCCGCAATTTGGGACTCGGGCTTTAAGTTCGACTCTTCACAAGCATAACTTGACCCTCACCACTCTCCCCCCTGCCTCGTGTTTTTCCGACTACATCCCCAAACCTCCCGTGGCTCCCGAACAAGTTTAACTGAGTTCCAAAACCTTCCCTGCCATTTCGACAAGGGAAACCAAACGCTTTGCAATTTCTTGAGTATGCCGCGCTTGGCGCTCTGCAGTGGCAGGGTGGCCCAAAACACATCGAGAGGCCTGCTCACAACACTCCTCGAACCGCATTCGCCTCGATCGGTCGGACTTGTCTTGTGACAAGACAGAAAAAGCATTGGTTTGCGTTCAGGTTCGATATTTTGCTGTGCACTCATTGCTGTCCCCCACCAGCCACTTACGTCAAGTTAGTGGGGTGTAAATCGGGGGCTGGAGCTGTGTGCAATAGCATAGGGCCTGTACATTGAGAAGACGCAATGCAACTTATATAGCCGCCGAATACCCGTTGTTTAGGTAAGTGTCAGAAACGGAGTGCGGCAAAATTCGACCCTTGGTGCACAGTGGAAATAGTATTGAGAATGTCCGCGCTTCAACCCTTGAAGGCCGACCTGGACAAGGCGCAGGCGGTGCTCGACGCGCGCCTGGCGGAGGAGCGCGACGCGGCGAAGAAATCCGCGGATGCGGACGCGGAGGCGGACGCCGCCATGGCGGACTTGAACGGGAAAAAGGCGGCGCTGGAGCGCGCGAAGCAGGAGCAGGAGGTGGCGCGACAAGCGAAGAGCCAGGCGAAGCAGAAGGCGAAGGAAGAGAGAGAGTATTACGATGAGCTGGAAATGCAAGCCCAAGAAGTTATCTTCGACGAAACGCAAGCCGCAAAAGACATAATCGATGCTCAAAATCTACTGGAAACGGCCAAAACGAGCTTGGAGGAGCAAACGAAGATCGCCGCGGAGGCGCTTGCCGAAGCTACCTCTGCGGCTCGGGCGGCGGCGAGGCTCGGCACTCCCGAAGCGAAGGCGTACCAGCTGGAAGCGCATAACGTCAAGCTGCAATCGGATCGAATCTTGGTGGCGGTTCAGAAGCAGGTGAAAGATGCGGAGTATCGGGTTCAGTCGCGGACGAAGGAGCACGAGAATAAGGTCCAGGACAAAGCCAACACACGAAAGGCCGCCGACGAGCAGAAGGTGATAAAGGAAAAAGCGGAGAAGGACGAGAAAGACTCGACCACGATGTACCAGCAGAAAATTGCTAGCGCTAAGGCAGCGGACACGGATGTGAAAGCGTCGAACGTGATTGCGCAGCAGAAGCTGGCGGTGCAGCGCAGCGTCAAGGCCAATCTTAATGCTAAGGCGGCGGCTCGCGCGAGCCAGGAGAGGACTGTGGAAATGCTGACGACCAGGTATAACTCGATGAAGGCAAATGCGGTTAACGCGGAGGCGGATGAAAACTAAAACGATGTGAAGTTTAATGATTAAACTTGTGATGAGGAACGGGAATCGCGCATGGGAGTGGAGTGGATGCTGCTGAGAAGGATTGCGAGTGTATTTGGTGTGGCGATTCGTGAAAGGTAGGCTTCGTTTTCTGTATGGGCAGGAGACTCTCAAGGAGCAATGACCATTTCGCACACAAGAGGATGGTTCAATATACACAGCATCCAGACTCCTTTAGCTTTATTTGTCGGAGCTGTTACTGAATGTTGCCAATTATGAGTTCATTATTTGTAGTTATTCTGCCTCACAAACAGCCATTCTAAACGAGGAACGAGCAACGAGTGGGGGGGCTGGGGGTCTCAGTGAGAGAGAGGCATGATGGAGGAGGGAATTTGGAAATGCGCGTTCCGTCGTGCTTGCAGAATTCGAGGAAGTTCGGACATTGGAAATGGGTGAAAAAAAGAAACACTGACAAGGCTGGACTCATACGATGATTAAGGAAAAGTACACTTATTTTATATCTAACGAAATAGAAGGATGCACCTGTTTAGTAGAGCTCATACATGAGCTGCTACCACAATATTACAAGCATATCTAATCAACCAGCAAAAATAATGGAAGCAGCCAAAGTCGCTACAAAAGCTGCTACACCAGCGACTCCCATACGCGCCGCTCCCTTATAAGTAATAACACTTGGGTTGCTTTTAGGAACAGGCTCAGAGGACCAAGGCGTGCCAACATCAGGAGGCGGCGGGTCGTGTGCAGCTCCGGTAATATACGGAAGAGGGGGATTCTCGGGCAGCGGCGCGGCATTGGGATCGTCTGGGAGTGGGAACCATTGGCAAGCGTTGGATGCATTGCCGCTGTCCATCGAACGGCCGATGAAAGCCGCGTATTTCATAGTGTCTACTGAGCCGTAGGGGCATTCCTTCGGGACGTATAGCGGGTCACAGCAGGCAGGTTGCTCGGGGAGGGCGGCAGGGCCACTGTAGCAGTTTTTCTGTTGTGGTGTGATGGGGGAAAAGTGGGGAGGGGGAAGGAAAAGAGGAGGGAGGGAGGGAGGAGAGGGAGAAGAGGGGTGAGGAAGGTTCAACAGCTTGAATCAAGAAAGCAAGGGTGTGTAGGCTAAGTACTAGGAAGGCGAAGACATAAACAACAGGCATGCGGACACGCTTTCAGGAGGGGTTGTGATTAGATTAGATCATGGCCATTACTGCTTACCTGGAACTCACCTGACAAAGGGACACAACCGGATTCTCACGTCGCAAACGATGAAGGCGACACTGCCAATGCCGGCTTCTGACTTTCAAGTCAACTCAAAAAGTTAACCGCAGTCTCACCTCGGAAACGATGAAGGCGACATTTCCAATGCCTAGCTTCTGCACGAGAGGAGTGAAGAGACGCCCCAGGAGGAGCTCCTTGGTGGGGAAGCCTGCTCCGACCAGCACGTTGCCCACTGGGGTGGATAGGGGAGAGAGGAGGGGAGAGGAATAATGGGGGTGAGTTGGGGAGGAGAGCAATGAAGCCCGAGCACGATCTTCTTACTGGGGAAGCCTGCTCCGACCAGCACGTTGCCAACTGGGGGAGAAATGGGGAATAGATGGGAAGGGATGGGAAAGGATTAAGAAGGGCATAGGCGAGTGAAGAGACGCCCCAGGAGCAGCTCCTTTGTGGGGAAGCCTGCTCCGACCAGCACAGTGCCCTCTAAGAGTACGAACGGGAATCAGCGCAAGTGTGGGAGGATGATAAGGCACATAGTGAAGCGAAACGATGAAAGATAGAAAGAAACATCTAAGGTTTAGTAATCACGTGAACGGTGCAGTGATAGTTGCAAGGAAGTCATCACAAGATCATCAGATACTCACGTGAGACGTCTTTGCAGTACCCAAACACTTCCTGCGCGTACGTCGGACACACGCGCAGAATGGGTCTACCGGCCTTCACAAACACGTAGTTGCCGGAATCTGTGACGGAAAAGTGAGGCGGGCACAACGAGCGGCGAACAGAACGGATTACTGACTGAGTAAATGCGCCTGCCGTCGGATGTGTAGTTCCCAAGAGAAAAGAGATGAGTGAACAACGGGGAAGAGGCGAGGTGAAGACGGTGAGCTCGATTGGTAACGCACGTGCGTACCGGGGTTACAGGTCAACGCGCAGAGGAGCTGTTCGAGATGAAACTGGCAGTCGTCCAAGCCGTACAGATAGTCGCACGCCTGCTTACGAGGCACGGAGAACGGGGTTAAGGAAAGCGTACAAGGTTAGCGTTACATGGCAAACAGAAAGGGTTCAATATAAACATACAGCCCAAAGATTGAGCGACGTTAACGGGACCTTGTTGTCGTGGGAATATGAAGAAGGAGAGGGGGACCAGAATAGCCGGGAGAGGTGAGGGGGAGAGGGGAGATGTCAATAACATCTGCGCGTATCACCCTTTTTTGAATTATTATTATTGATTCACCTTCGGGTAACCCGTTCCGAAACCGTACCATTACTCATGGTAGCGTGGTTCGTCCGACCGTTATTCCGGTGCGGTTCGCCATGGTGCTGCAAAACAATAGCGTACCGTTACACGCTAGACGCATCATTCTGCCAACTTACGGTGAACAAACGGTGAACGCATGTGACTCTGGAGCATTCGATTTTTCTGGTCAACCAGCGGGATTGAGAGTTTTATTTGCTTTTGAGGCGCCTCAACTTCTGAGGCGCCTCAAAAGTTAGTGAACTCATGGTGACGTTGTAGCATTCAATTTTTTTCTCGTCAACCAGCGGGATTGACGAATTCTTGAAAACGGCTTCAAAATAGTCTGAACGAGCAGCTTTGTCCCGCATGAAAACACCTTGCTGCAGGCGTTTCTGTATCTCAGTAGACATTCTCTCTGTTCGGCTACACCTCCGCGAGCGCATTTTGATTTCTCTTGGATTTTGTGTAGCAGGACGAAGAAGCGCCGTCTGGGAAACCACAGAACCAGACTGTACCGTCGCCAACAGTCCATTTTCGTTACGTACCGTAGTCCCCGAGTAGTCAACTTCGTTCACGAGCCCTAGCGGCGTGAGCAGCTGCGGCATGATGATCGAAACGTTCGCCGAAACTCCCGCGAGCGCGTTTTGGATCTCCTTGCAATCCGTCCAGCACGACACAGCAGAGGCGTCTGCGAAACCACAGGGCCGAACTGTACCGTAGCACAATCCGACTGTACCGTCACCAACCATACCATTTCCGTTACGTACCGTAGTTCCCGAGTAGTCGACTTCATTCATGGGCCCTAGCGGCGTGAGCAGCTGCGGCATGATGATCGAAACATTCGCCGACACCCCCGCGAGCGAGTTTTGAATCTCCTTGCAATCCGTGCAGCACGACGCAGCCGCGGCATCCATGCAGCGGTGGTACGGTACCGTGGGGAGCGACGGCGGCTGCTTCGTTAAAGGACATAGCGGATACTGTTGCGCCGTGGATGTACGCGTTAGTAGGAGGACGAGGGGCACGAGGAGGGCGAGGGCCGGAAGGTCGGGCCGCACGTCGCGTTTCATGGTGACGAGATGAGGCCAAAGCAAGAGTTTATTGATGACTAGTCGGTGAGATAGTCAGCCTTTACTGCAGTTCTGCTGATGGTGCGGTTTGTTTTGGGTGGACTTTAGTCACTGAGGCACAAGGCATGAATGTGTTAGGCGTTTCGAATAGAGACTCTTCGCCGTTGCTCGATCAAACGCTTCCCAGAAACTGACTCTGATGGATATTTTGACCACTTATTTGGCGCCTCACGCTTGCTACTTCTCAGGGTTGAACGGATGCAACGAGAAACTCGAGCTTGAATTGGGGCCGACAACTGAACGTGCAGGAGGGATGGTGGTGGGGGTGTGCATAGTAGCGGAAGCTATGTCTCGGAGGCGCATATAATATTATAATAGGTTAAGGAAGGTTTACTACGAGTCAGAACTTTTCGCGTCATATTTTGACGGTTCGGTATGGTTTTGAAGATACCATCACAAGAAGTGGAATGCAATGCGTGCAATGTAGGGTAACAATGGGGGGATCTCGCGTCGCGTCACGTCGCGTTGCGTCGCATTGAGAGGGGCTCGTTGGTGGTGTTGATGGGCACGCGCAGCGTCGAGTCCGAGTGTCAAAGGTCGGCCGCACGGCGCGTCGTTAGGTTCTGCGACCAATTGAAAAGGTTTCGTGGCCGAAGGCCGACGCGAAATAGTCAAGCGTCGAATACTGGCGATAGAATATCTACTGTCGCCTCTGAAAGCTATGAAGTGCTGGTAACGTTTCGCCAAACAACGCTCTCCGTATTCTGCGAAACGTGCTGACGACGTACAAGAAAAGCGCTCAGTGCGGTCAGCCAATAAAAGTGCACGAGCCGCAATAGGCGGGTACAGTACGTCCGTGACGTGCCTTCGCCTGCATCGCATGAATCTTATTGCACCACTATATTTGTGACAAATAATTATGTACCGAAGAGAGAGTGAGATTCTGAATATAAACCACCTATTCAAACTAAAGACGATTTTGACCTACGGTCTTTGGGCGTCTTTTCAGAGTCCGACACAATCTCCTCATCCATCTCACCTTCTTCCAACCGCGGCAAAGAAGGCCTCCAAAACATCCTCCTATCATCCGCATTCAAATGCCCAATCGCCCCCCACCCTTGTGCCCCCACGGTCCCCCTCTTCTTCTGCTCCTCTTCCACCCGCCTTAGCATTTCCACCGGATCCGTCTCTTCTTCCCCCTCATGAGATATTACAAGGACTTCGGAAGAGTCACCACCACCTGCTCCTCCTCCTTTCCCATGTGCCCATTTCCCCGAGTTTTTCCATAGCTTCTCCACCCTCGATAGAAGCACGCGGGGTGACGGGGGTGGCGCAAACGAAGCCGATGCTACAGCTGCTGACGCCACAGCCGCAGATGCTACAGCCATTTGAGACGTTTCTCGAAACGCGGCTGCCATTGCTGTTGCCGCACGGCCAGCCGCCCCTCCTGCTGACGCTTTCCAATCCCCCTTCCCCTCCCCTTTCCCTTCCCCCTTCCCCTCCCCCTTCCCCTCCCCCTTCCCCTCCTTCCCCTCACCTCTCAGCACCGGTTCCTTCCCATACGCCCGCACTTCCTCCTCTCCCTCCCCCTCTTCCTCACCCTCCTCTCCCACATCTCCTTCTCCCTCCTCCCCAACCACCCCTCCCCCATCTTTCCTCCCCTCCGCCGTTTTTCTCGCAGCCGAAACTCCTTTCGTCCCCATCGGTGCCGAAACCCCTTTAGAGCCCGTCGATTTCGACCGGGAAAACTCCTGCACAATCGCGTCAAACTCACTCTCCACAAAATTTAAGCTCGACGCTCCGGACTTGCGAGACGACGTGCCGGGACGCGAGGAGAGGGAGGTGGAGGGTCGCGACGAGGTACTCGGTCTAGAGAGCGAGTCTTTATTGCCCGTGCTGCGACTGGTTAACATTGAACCCCCCAGGAGGGACCTGGGGGTCTTAGGTGGCATGCGTATGGATGATGCTTCATCAGCAGCACCATCAGCGGCAACAGCAGCAGCAGCAGCAGCACTACTGTCACTGGCAGAAGCAGCACCAGCAGCACCAGCAGCAGCAGCAGCAGCAGCAGCAGCAGCAGAATTGCTGCCACCAGCAGCAAGGGTTTCCCAGAACCCCGGGTGAAAGCCGTCCTCCCCAATACTGCAGCTCCTCTCTGTCCCTTCCTCACTCTCCACCTCGCCTCGCCTGCTCGACCCACCCACACTCTCAGATGCGACACTGGCCATGCCTCCATCCGCTGCTAAATCCCTCCCCTCCTTAGTCCCGTCCTTGCTCTTCTTTGTTTCCTTGTCCCTGCTTCCCTTACTGCTCCCCTTGCCCCTTTCCTTACTACTTCGCTTGCTGTCTCCTTTACTGCTTTCCTTGCTACTGCTCTTGCTGTCCCTCTTACTGCTGCTTTCCTTGCTGCTTCCCTCCCGCTCCCTTCTCTCCTCTCCTTCTGACCTGCTTTTACTGGAACGGGACGAATGCTTCTTTGACTCATCCCTGCCCCGGCTACCTTCCTTTCCCCCATCCTCTCCCTCCCTATCTCCTTCCTCCCCCTCCCTTACCTCATCCTTCTTCTTCTCCTTATGCCTGTCCTTGCTTTTCGATCTCTCCCTCTCTTTCTCACCGGCCCCGTCTCTTCCTCGTCTCTTCTCCTTATTGTCACTCCTATCCTTCGCTCGTTCCTTTTCTTTCTCCTCACTCTTAGACTTGCTGCTGCTGCTGCTGCTGCTGCCCTTGCTTTTGCTCTCATCCTTGTGTTTGCTACTACTCCTACCACTGCTGCTCTTATGCTTCTTATCCCCGTCTTTCTCTGCACCCATACCCGTTTTCCCACTTTCATCAGCCTCCACTACCCTCTCAGTGCTTGCACTAGCTAAACTAACTTCTGATACAGACCTAGAAACTGCCTCTGACTCAACAGCCACCTCAATTTCACTCCCCCTGCTGCTTGCCCTACTGCTCGCTCTGCTACGCGTTTTGCTGCCGGTCTTGCCACCGCCGCTGCTATCCTTCTCTCTCTCCTTCTTTTCTCTCTCCCTCTTTCCTCTTTCCTTCTCCTCGCCCTTCTCGCTTCGCCTCTTTGGTTTCGGAGGGATACCATGGGTAACACCGTTTGCAGGAAGGCTATCAGCTGCATTAGTGTCATCTGCAGCAGCAACACCTACACCGCCATCTGCAACAGTGGCTCCCTTTACAGGAACACCAACAGGTGCATCAGTGTTAGCAGCAGCACCACCAGTCTCGTCCCTCCCTGCTTTCCTAACCGCTTTCCCCAGCTCCCCTTCTCTCCCCCCACTGTCTCCCTCACCTCCTGTCGCATTCTCCACCTGCACCCCTCCCTCACTCACTCCCTCACTCTCTCCCAGGAACATGGAAACATCCATAGGCAGCACAGCTTGGGCTAAAGGAGACGCCAGATCAAAGCTGCTTCGGCGCGGAGCTTCGATGGCCAGCCGAACGTACCCAGCTGCCTCGTCACCCACAGCTTCGGCGCCAGCTTCGGCTACTGCCTTAGGTTCGGAAGCTGCCCGAGGGAAGGCTACGGGGCTGGTTGGGATTTCGATGGATATGCATTGCTTGGTTAGACGTTCTCCTGCTGCCTTTGCTCCTTGGATCCCCCCTCGCTCTCGCCCTTCCCCTGCTTGCTGACTAGGCTGCTGATGTCTCTCATCTGCTTCCTCTTCTTCTTTCAGCTCCTCTTCCACTGCCGTTTCTGTCTTTCCTGCCTCTTCAGCTTCCGCCTTCCCTTCTGCGTTTGCTCCTGCCTCTGCTCCTGCCTTTACTTCTGCCTTTTCCTCAGCTGCCTGTGTTTCACCTGCCCTCCCATCCCTTTTCCCCCCATCAATCCCACTCCCGCTCCCCCCTGCCTTCCCCCCTGCCTCCCCACCTGCTCCCAACGAATCAGCCAGCATAAGGCGGTTCAGAATCCCTGCAGTTACCCCCTCCCCAACTTTCATCCGGGCAGATGGACTTCGCAACGGGCTGACCGGCCTCTCCAACCCCAAATTTTCGGGCAGAAACGACGGGGCACCTGGAACGTTAACTCTCCTCCGGTTCCTTATCCTGCACCACCCCCTGGCCTCCCTCCCCCTCGTTAGAGTCACTTTGGGGGAATTTCTTACTGTCACCACGGCTAAAGTCACTCTTAAGGGGAGATCTTGGGCGTGTGTGGTGGGAGGAAGAGGAATAGGGGGAGGAGCGAGGGGGGGAGGGAGATTCAGGCACAAGATCATCTATGTCGTCAGCAAGAGCTGTGCTGCCGTCAGCAGAACCATCTGCTTCCCCCAAACCTCCATCAGGTTCGGTTCGTCCGAACCTGGAGCTGGCGGAGGTTCGGAACGACCTTGGGGTGCGGGCGGGGTAGCCTCGGGGAGTAGAGGAGCGTACAGAGGAGGATGGGTGGAGAGGGGAGGAGTGGAGTGAAGAGGAGTGCAGGAAAGAGGAGTGGGGAGGAGAGTGTGCGAAAGAGGAGGAGGCAGAGAGCCTAGAGGAGCGCAGAGCACGTGGGGAATTGAGTGTTCGCGAGGATTTGAACGAGCGATGTGAGTTGAACGAACGAGGAGTGGCTTTCGAAAATCGGGGAGATTTTGCTGCTAGCGCTGCTGATGCTGCAGCCACTGCAGCAGCCGCAGCGGCAGCTTGAGCTTCATAGCTCCCCTCTAAAAACGCCCTCTCCTCCTCACCACCCATTGCTTCCTCCTCCGCTCCCTCTGCTCCCTCCTCTCCCTCCTCCGCCTCCTCTTCCTCCCCTTCCTCTTCCAAACCTTCTAAGTCATCTAAAACTAGCAAGTCAGCTTCAGGGAAAACACTCTCAGCCATTTCAACACCGTTTTCCATACCAGCTGCTTCTGCTCCTGCTAATCCTCCCGCTCCTGCTCCTGTTCCTGCTCCTGCTCCTGCTGCTCCTGCTGCTGCTGCTCCTGCTCCTGTTGGTGCTGCTGGCGGCAGCATGTTTCGTCTAGACCGGGACGCGTGCGAGCTGGCAAGCCTTCGCCGCGAGGGCGATTTACTGTACGAAGTAGCTGGTCTGGTAGCCCTAGGGTTACCATACGCACCACTTTCGCCAGCGCCTTCGCCAACAGATACAGCGTCCAGCATTTTCGCACTTGAAGACAGGGCTTTTCTAAACGACCTGCCACCCATATTCCCCGCCCCTAACCCTACTCCCCCGCCGCCCATACCGCCACCAGCAGCGCCGCCTCCGCCGCTCCGCATCCCCCTAGGAGTTGCGCCCGGTCCGCTCGCGCTGCTGCTGCGGAAGCTGCCGCTGTGGCGCATCTCCCGCGGAGGCTCCAGCAGCGCGGTGAGCGCGGAAAGGTCGCGCGGGGTGCGCGCAGAGCTGCTGGGATGGGGGGAACTGATGGTGAGCGCGGAGAGGTCGCGCGGGCCGCGGGCGGAGCTGCGCGGAGGGCGCTCGGGGGGGAGTGCATGGCTGAGGGGAGCGGAAGCGTGATTGGGGGGAGCGGATGGTCCAGATTGTGCCACGTGGCCGGGGCTTCTAGCAGGCCGGATCGTTTTCACGCCTGACGAGGTGAAAGTGGGAGTGGCGGGAGATAACACCCCATCCCCGTCACCATCCTCGTTATAGACATCCCCGTTAAGATCAGCACCTCCGCCCTGAGTCTCCCTCGCATTGGTCGAGAGCGATATGGAAAGATTCAAATTTGAAGCCCTCCCATCAGTCCCACGTGGCATGCCGAGCCCATTTGAGGCTGCGCCATCGGCGGGAGGCGGGCGGAAGGTCGGGACTGATTCGAGCGACGGCGGAACGAGGTCGAACGCGCTTGCGCTCTGCGCGGCCTCGTTTTCCGGGGGAGGGCAGAAGGTCGGGGCTGATTCGAGGGACGGGGGAATGTCGTTCGGCGTAAACATAGTGTTGTGACGTGTCCCGTGGCAGACTCGGAAAGGATAGACGCGGCCCCTGGTTACGTTCTATCGTTCAAAAAGCATACAATCGATCATGCGGCGTCCTATCAAACGAACATCTTTCTATTGATCATTCTTCACGCAAGGGCTGGCGGTGAGGTCACCAGATGAGCGACAAGACATCCTGACGGAATCCGTTGACAGATGAATAATTTTCTCGCAGACGGAAACGAACGCCCGAGGCAGGAGTACCTAGGTCAAACATCTAGGTCAAGCTCTGCAGAACATATATGGTGGTGAGTTGTCTAGGCCAAACTCCTGGGGAACAAGCAGTGCTGGAACAACCACCTGAGGGAGGTGGATGGAATGGAAGCACGGGCGTGGACATGGAGATTGTCGAATTTCGGATTTTCTTGAAGAAAAATGCACCTGTCGATGATTCATGTCATCGTGCCTTTGGAATATGTTAGCACTGTATTCATTACAGTAAGGTCTCAAAAGTCCCGCGTTATGTACAGCAAACTTTCATTCAGCACGATTTCGCTCTGGCCACCGCTGGGCTTCATCTGCTAACAGATTCACTGGATCCAGATGTTCCTGCTTGGTTCTCTTCTAACGCAAAATGAGTTCAATTGGCCACTAGGACCAATCAGCTAACTGTCGAGACAGGAGGTTGAAGTAATGGGCAACTTTCAGAGCAGAGGTCTAGACCATTAACACGGTTGAAAACTATACAAAGGCCACAAGAGCCAGTAAGAAGAAAACAAAAAAGCTCGGCTGTAACTTCACAGCATCGAGAGTAAATCACAGAGATCACGCGCTGGTGAACTTCGTGACGGCCTTGGTACCCTCTGACACTGCATGCTTCGCCAGTTCACCAGGGAGGGTAAGCCTGACTGCTGTTTGAATCTCGCGAGACGTGATCGTGGGTTTTTTGTTATACCGAGCCAGCTTCGACGCCTCCGTCGCCAGCTTCTCGAAAATGTCGTTGATGAAAGAGTTCATGATCGACATGGCCTTGGACGAAATGCCAGTGTCTGGATGCACCTGCAGAGGCGCACAAGTACATGAAAAAGCACGGTGCATACGAGGGACGTCAATCGCGCTAAATCTGAAGGAAAACGATTGAGGACCAAGTAAGGAACCCGAGAAGCTTACCTGTTTCAAAACCTTGTAAATGTAAATCTTGTACGTTTCCGTCACGGCCTTCCGAGCCTTTTTCCTCTCTGCCTTTTCCCCCGCAAGCTTCTTTCCTGCTCCTGGAGATTTCTTCGCTGTGTGCTCCTTCTTTGGACCCTTCTTGGCTGCCTTCTGCTCTCCCTCGACCTTAGGAGCCATAATAACTGACGGTAGCACTAACCCTCGAACTGGGAAACAAAGCAGATTCGGCTACGCACTGCTACCTGCGACGTTGCTACGCGACCTTCGGAAGACGAGAGGATAGTTAGACTAGGAGTGAAAAGCTGTCCGAGCGAGGTCTGAAAAGCTTAGCTAGTCTTTGCAGCTTGACCAGATTATAAAGCTCCCGAAGTCTCACCCCTATAACCAATGTTGGGATGCTCAGGGGGGAACATTTCAAACAACCAATTACACGGCTGCTTTGGTTGGCAGACGGATCGAGCACGATCACGGACAGCCGTCGATGGTTGAACCAACTTGGTTAACATCGCGTCTTCGCTGTAGCGACAATCACATCTCCCGAAAGAAAAACAAGAAAATCCCGTAATAACATACACTCTTGAAATGATTTGATGTACATTACGGTACTGCTGGTGATTTGATTTAAATTGTCCACGCACTTAGGCCCACACCACAACCACAACCAATGCCATTAGAATGTGAAGTAATAGTTTTTGCCTGACAAAAAGCGGCCTTCATCTATAGGCATAAAATTGCCTTGCAACCGTATGCTCCAGTGATCAGCCTATCGTAGGCGCTAAATTCTAGAACCTAGGGTTTGGGTGGCAGCGGAATTTGCGAAGGCCTAAAGAGCTTCATGGATCATTCGTACTACATTGTAAGCATGCGGTCACAAGGGCCACCGTTCATTCCTCTGCTTCAGAGTCAGATGAGTCTCCAGCATTCAATGATTTCTCCAGCGCATCCATGTCAGCGGATGAGGACAAACTTACAATCTTGATCGATGCAGCATCCTCGCTGCAGGAACAAAGAAACGTTAGCGGCAGCCAACAACAGAAGATGAATGGAAAACAAAAAGAAGTGGGTCAACAACACTCACTCTGTAACTCCAAATATGCTTTTGATTTCGAGCTTCTCACGACCGGATGGCCCACAGAAATCATCCAGCTGCATCCATAACACACAGATGTGAATTCCTGAAACATGATGCCAGCACAGTTCCATTCACAATTCACGACAAGAACACGACGTACCTCGGACAAGTAGAGGAGCTTTGTGAAAATCCCTTGCACTGCAGCCTTCCTCTGCACACCCTTTTCAGTGAAACCAGTTGTATCCATCACCACGGGACCTGCAGACGAGATTGACGTGAGGGAGGGAAAGATGGTTCATAAACATTTGCTCGGATCGCCACCAAAACAAAACCAAATCACGGGGACGAAAACACACACAAACACGCTAGTACCTTTAGCTTTTACGACTCTCCGAGAGATCTCGTTGAGCACCTCGGCAATCCCAAGGTCATCAAGGCCAGAAACTCGCCGAAGGTGAATCAGGCCGGAAACCGTCTCCGGGGTAAAGGGCTTTTCATTGATCACGTAGCGGATGTACTTGCGAAGAATCTCATCCGAGCTGAAATTGAACTGAAGAAAAAGGAAGAACGTCAGGAGAAGTCCTTAGAAACAAGAAGAACGACTGTTGACCTGAGTAATGCGGATTGGAGGTACCTTTTTCTCGAGCGACTTGAGCTCCTTGGAGGTCAGGGCGTCCTTATTGTCAGGCAAAAACTCGTCAATGCTCTGATTGAGGCCAGCATTCTTCCCGATCTGCCAAATGCGTACACGACGGAAAGTGAGGAACTCACGGAGCGCGTGTATTCCTTAAAGCCCATACGGGACTAAACACGACCATCCTGGCCGGAAATTGGTTCAGCATCTCGCACCTGTCGTCTGCGTTTCGCCTTGGGAGTGCTTCGCATTTTCACAGTCTTATACACCGCCAGAACGAACGTCAGAGCCATGTAGCCTAACGGAACGGCGATGAGCCATGGCATATTTGATTCGCCTACACGTGGACCAGGGACCGCCTGCATTACTGACTGAACGGTCTGCTGGACATCAGTAACCTTCTCAGACACCCAAGACGGCTCCTCCTCTCCCTCAATAATCTCCTCTTCAACTACTTCCTCTTCTACCACAGGCTCTTCTACGGGAGCTTTGGCCTTCTTCTTTTTCGCGTGCACGGAGAAGTCTGCAAACCTGCGTTGCTCCGCGAAACGGATATCTCTAGGTGCCGAGAGCGGAGCGCCATAGCGAACACGATGCGTTGGCACTAGGGATCGGCCTGAGAGAAGGCATGGAGAAATGGCAGACGCCATGTTTATAAACTGTTAGGCAAGAAAAACAAGTTCTAGGAGTCACTGTTGTGAGGTTGGCCAGACCAGGCGAAGATCGGCTTGGAGGGGAAGGGCTACGCATCACGAGCAAAGTGCGCTGTTGGAATGTAGCCGTTGAATTCGTTATGATACAATTCGCTTACAGACCAAGGAGTCCGAGTATTTTCTCTGGCATGCATAGTCCTAGATGTAGAATGGGAGCACAAATTGAAAATGCATTCTGGGACTGCATCAGCCAATCCATCCAGCCAGAAAAAATTTCTTTAGACAACATATTGGTATACATGTTTGTATACTCCGTATATCCATATTTGTGAGTTAAGTTCCGGATTACATACAAACATGGGGAAAAGTATCAAATGTTATTATGGTAGGTTCTTAGGCTACAGTGATTAGCACTCTAGGGAGTACAGCAATTTTAGGTTTGCTTTTGTATTCCTCTCGATGCTAGTCTCGATGCTATTCTCTTGAGAGAAAGATAGATTGCTAAGAGCGTGTTCCTACGGCCTTGTATCAGGCAACCTCGTATCAGATTCACGTTTCACCACACTAAAACACATCCAAACGTAGTCTAGTCGAACATACAGAAACGTATTTCACCGAGCGAAGCTGATACGAGGTCTTTCTGATACGAGGTGTAGGAACACACTCTAAAACTCCATCGCCCCCTTTGCATGCGCTTTACTTAACCCCAACTTCTCCCACCGTTTTCTAACAAGTAACTAGTGCCCCCTCCCATGCCCACTGTGCCCACGCGCATGCCCATGCCCATGGCCATGCCCATGCCTCCAGTCCCACCAGCGGGAAGCAAATCCACGTGGGGGACGACAGGGGGCTACGCACTGCTGCTACGACCCTCTCCCCCTGTGCATGCATTTCGTATCAAGCAGCACTCCTTTTTTGCATCCAGCATAAATTGCCACTCTCCATACTAGTGCCTGCCCCCTCTGCCCCTGTGCCCATGCCCATGCCCATGCCCATGCCCACGCCCACGCCCATGCCCGTGCCCATGCCTACCCCCTCCTCTCCCACCCCCTCCTCCCCTGCCTCCAGACCCCCCAGGGAGGAGGGAATTCGCATAGGGGGAGGAGAGGGGCTGCGCACTGCTTCCACGACTCTATCCCCCTGTGCATGCATGCATTTCACCTGAATCACAAACCCATTTCGTTATGCGGCACACCATTTTCTCTACTAGTGCCTTCCCCCCCTCCCCCTGTGCCCATGCCCACGCCAATGACCATGACCATGCCCATGCCCATGCCTCCCCCCTCCTCTCCCACCCCCTCTCCCCCCTCCTCCCCGGCCTCCAGACCCCCCAGGGGGAAGCGAATCCGCATGGGGGGAGGAGAGGAGGCTGCGCACTGCTGCCACGACCCTCTCCCCCTGTGCATGCACGTCCAGGGATGGGTTCTCTATTTTCTCCCTCAGCAGCGAGTCTAATTGCTGCCTCAGGTCCTGGGAGAGGGCAACAAGACAAGACGGAAGGAGTATGAGAAACATTAGCACTGCCATGACCCTCTCCCCCTGTGCATGCACGTCCAGGGATGGATTCTCTATCTTTTCCCTGAGTAGCGAATCCAGTTGCTGCCTCAGGTCCTGGGAGGGGAGGGAGAAGGGGGGGAAATGTGAGCAAAACGGGAGGAGAGGAGGCTACGCACTGCTGCCACGACCCGCTCCCCCTGTGCATGCACGTCCAGGGATGGGTTCTCTATCTTCTCCCTCAGCAGCGAGTCTAATTGCTGCCTCAGGTCCTGGGAGAGGGCAACAAGACAAGAGGGAAGGAGTATGAGAAACATTAGCACTGCCACGACCCCCTCCCCCTGTGCTGTGCATGCACGTCCAAGGATGGATTCTCTATCTTCTCCCTCAGGAGCGAATCCAGCTGCTGCCTCAGGTCCTGTGACACGAGGAAGGGGAGGGATGAGGGAAAGATGTGAGCAAAACGGGAGGAGTGGAGGCTGCGCACTGCTGCCACGACCCTCTCCCCATGTGCATGCACGTCCAAGGACAGATCCCTATCTTCTCCCTCAATAGCGAATCCAGCTGCTGCCTTAGGTCCTGATAGAAAGGGGGGAGACGGAATGCCACGCGATTTCAGATGCCCTTCCAAGCATGTCAAAGCCCGTGCGACCAGCATGGGTGTAAGTATGGCACGCAGCTGCATGCCTATTCCCACCTGCACCAGCCGAGTAGTCTGAGCTGAAGGGCTCAAGTTCAGGTACCCGCCAGCATGTCAAAACCCGTGCGACAAGCAAGGGAGGGACACAGCGTGTGCTTGCATGCCTGTCTGTATGCTCTCACCTGCACCAGATCTCACCTGCACCAAATCTCACCTGCACCATTTTTGCAGTCTGAGTGGAAGCACCGAAGTGCAAATACCCCCGCAGCATATCAAAGCCCGTGGGATCAGCAGGGGTCAGAGTGTAGGTACCAGGCATGCCGGCATGCTCACCTGCACCAGCATTGCCGTTTGAGCAGAAGCGCTGAAGTGCAGGTACACCCCCAGCATGTCAAACCCTGTTAGGCTATCTGCTCTGCACTCACCTGTTCTCACCTGCCCTCTGCCCCTCACCTGCACGAGATTAGCAGTCTGAGCAGAGGCACTGAAGTGCAGGTACCCCCCCAGCATGTCAAAGCCAGTGCGGCCAGCAGGGGCAGGTTCTAAATTGCCTCCGAACATGAGGAGGGCGAAGTCAGAGACCATGGTGGAGTCCCTGGGAGGGGTGGAGAGGGGTGGGTGAGGGAGGGGTGGGGGGAGGGATGAGTGAAAAAAAGCAGAGTTTGAAAGGCTTGACCAGCAGCCAGCAGGGTTCTGGGTCCCCTTTGAACATGAGGAGGGCGAACTCAGAGACCATGGTGGAATCCCTGGGAGGGGTGGAGAGGGGTGGGAAGAGAGGCAGAGGGCTCTGATCTGAATGCATCACTGCATGACTCTGTGAAACCCACTGAACCGGAATGAAGTGCACTGAACCGCAACAAAAGCCTTCAAACCGGTACCAACCTGAGGAAGATGTCGGAGGTCTTGACCTTCTCGTTGTACACGAGCCAGGGGCGGGAGAAGGAGGGAGAGATGGCATTCACCCTAATGCATCACTGGCAGACCACTGAACCGCATTCAACTGCATTCAGCTGCATTCAACTGGCACCAACCTGAGGAAGATGCCGGAGGTCTTGACTTTCTCGTTGTAGAGAAGCCAGGGGCAGGAGAAGGAAGGGCTGAAGGCGCTGACCTTAATGTGTCACTGAAAACCACTGAACCGCATTCAACCAGTACAAACCCGAGGAAGATGTCGGAGGCCTTGACTTTCTCATTGTACACGAGCCAAGGTCGGGAGAAGGAGGGGCAGAAGGCAATTATCTCAAAGCATCACTTCACAACCCTGTGAACCGCACTAAAATGCTGTCCACCGCACTGAACCGCATAAAGAACCATCCAACCGGTACCAACCTGAGGAAGATGTCGGAGGTCTTGGCTTTTTCGTTGTACACGAGCCAGGGGCGGGAGAAGGAGGGGGGAATGGCATTGACCCTATCGCATCACTGGCAACCCACAAACCGCATTCAACCAGTACAAACCTGAGGAAGATGTCGGAAGTCTTGACCACCTCATTGTACACGAGCCAGGGGTGGGAGAAGGAGGGGCAGGAGGGACAAACCTGAGGAAGCTGTCGGAAGTCTTGACCACCTCATTGTTCACTGGCAAACCACTGAACCGCATTCAACCAGTACGAACCTTAGGAAGATGTCGGAGGTCTTGACTTTCTCGTTGTACACAAGCCAGGGGCGGGAGAAGGAAGGACAGAAGGCGTTGACTGAGGAAGGGTGCATCTCCACCCGTCCGTCCTCCTTGGTGAAAAACACAAACCGCTTGCCCTGCCGCCGAATCTGGAAGGAGAGAAGAGGGAAAAATATGGGTGTTACAAAGGAGGTGTTGACTGAGGAAGGGTGCATCTCCACCCTCCTTGGTGAAAAACACAAACCGTTTGCCCTGCCGCCGAATCTGGAGGTGGGGAAGAGATGGGTGGGGCAATGGGGAAGGCACAAACAGTTGTTACAGTTACCGAAAATGACTCGATTAGAGAAGGGAGGGCAGTTTCAGCTCTCCCCTGAGCAACAGAGAACCCCTCCCGAGCAACAGAGACCCCCACCTGAGCAACCTAAACACCTCACCTGAGCAACAGAAAAACTTACCTGAGCAACAGAGAAACTCACCTGAGAAACAGAGAAACCCACCTGAGCAACAGAGACCCCCACCTGAGCAACCTAAGCACCTCACCTGAGCAACAGAAAAACTTACCTGAGCAACAGAGAAACTCACCTGAGAAACAGAGAAACCCACCTGAGCAACAGAGACCCCCACCTGAGTCACAACTACCTTCACTTGATACTCACCTGAGCAACAGAGGGGTAGAGGCCCGCACAGATCACAGCAGAGAGCATTTCTTGGTCCGATGCCAGTTGGCTGTACTCCTGAGGGGTAACACGGAGCCGTCAACAGGGGTTTGAAAGGGGTCAATAGCGGTTCAAATGGGAGGGAATGGGGTCACAGCGGAGGAGAGCATTTCTTGATCCGATACCAGCTGGCTGTACTCCTGAGGGGGTAAGATGGAGGGGACAACAGGGGATTGAAAGGTGTCAAAAGCGGTTCAAATGGGAGTGAATGGGGTCACATCCGAGAGCATTTCTTGGTCCGATGCCAGCTGGCTGTACTCCTGAGGGAAAGAACGGGGCCAGATTCACATGGGGGGTCAATGGGTATTTGATCGGGGTTTTCAACGAACCTGAATGGGTATACAACAGAGTGGCAACGGGGAGTTATCCGTGTAAACCTGTCTCACATGGATCCCCAGTCAGGGTCATGGAATCCGATATCCCTGAGTTTTTTTAGAATTCTCAAAAAACACACGCTGCAACACATTTCCCTCCCACGAGAGTTCATCCGTGTAAACCTGTCTCACATGGATCCCCAGTCAGGGTCATGGACTCCGATATCCCTGAGCAGTTGCAGGAACTGCCCTCGCATGTCTGACACCATCTGCAGCTCCGGTGCTGCTCCTCTTTACCCCCGTGCATGCATGTTCCCCCTCCTTCATCACTCACATTGAGCCCCAGTCTGGGGTCGTAGCACCCGATATCACTGAGTAGTTGCAGGAACTGCCCTCGCATGTCTGCCACCATCTGCAGCACCGGAGCACCTCGGATGCAGGCACCTAAGCACTCACAGTGAGAGGAAGACAAGACACTCACATTTAGCCCCAGCCGCGGGTCGTAAAAGCCGATATCACTGAGTAGCTGCATGCCCTCGCATGTCTGACACCATCTGCAGCACTGGTGCTGAAAGGAAGTTATCCCAGCAGTAGTTGCGCTCCTGCCCTTGCATCTTGGCTGCTCTCCATCCCTCAAACGCGTTGAGCAGAGCTATGTGGTCACTGGGAGAGCAGGGAGGGGGGGGCAGGTGGAGGAGGGGAAGGGATGGAAGAAGGCAACAAGTTATCCCAGCAGTAGTTGCGCTCCTGCCGTTGCATCTTGGCTGCTCTCCACCCCTCAAATGCATTCAGCAGTGCTATGTGGTCACTGGGAGAGCAGGGAGGGGGGGGCAGGTGGAGGAGGGGAAGGGATGGAAGAAGGCAACAAGTTATCCCAGCAGTAGTTGCGCTCCTGCCCTTGCATCTTGGCTGCTCTCCACCCCTCAAATGCATTCAGCAGTGCTATGTGGTCACTGGGAGAGCAGGGAGGGGGGGGCAGGTGGAGGAGGGGAAGGGATGGAAGAAGGCAACAAGTTATCCCAGCAATAGTTGCGCTCCTGCCGTTGCATCTTGGCTGCTCTCCACCCCTCAAACGCGTTGAGCAGTGCTATGTGGTCACTGGGGAGGGTGGCGTGAGGGCACAAGTGGGGGGAGATGGGAGGGAAGAAGACAGCAAGTTATTCCAGCAAAAGTTGAGCTCTTGCCCTTGCATCTTGGCTTCTCTCCCCTCCTCAAACGCGTTCAACAGAGCTATGTGGTCACTGGTGGGGGTGGCGTGAGGGCACAAGTGGGGGGAGATGGGAGGGAAGAAGACAGCAAGTTATTCCAGCAATAGTTGAGCTCTTGCCCTTGCATCTTGGCTTCTCTCCCCTCCTCAAACGCGTTCAACAGAGCTATGTGGTCACTGGTGGGGGTGGCGTGAGGGCACAAGTGGGGGGGAGATAGGAAAGAAAAAGACAAGCAGCTATCCCAGCAATGATTGCGTTCGCCACCCCTCAAACGCGTTGAGCAATGCTATGTGGTCACTGGGGGAAGGGGGAATGAGAAAGGAAGGAAAGGGGGATGGGGGAGTGGGATGGCCTAGAGACAGGGAAAAAGCGTTCTCACCTCCTCAATCAATATGAACCCGGTGAGACTTGCCACATGCTGCGCCCATATCAATTCCTGCAGACCAGTGTGCCTCTTCCTCAGGGCAGCAAGCTCGAGGTAAAGGAGCCTCTGCCAGCGTGCTCTGCTTCTAATACGGGCAGCTGGTGAGTCTCACATGGCGCTCCTGCTGTGGGAGCATCCCATGCATCACGTATCGATAGCGGGGATGCCACCATGTGTTGACATGTGCTGCGCTTCCTTCCTCTTCACCCTTCGCTCTCCCCAGCATGTGTAGACTATCCTTCCCCTACGCAGCAGGAAGACCACGTGCTACTCGGTCCTTTTTGCACCTTTGCATTCCCATCCCAGATTTCCACTACCTCTGTGTTGCTGCATCTTCCTGTGTTTTTTGAGAATTCTCAAAAAACACCCACTACCTCTGTGTTGCTGCATCTTTCTTCACCCGCTTTGACCACCTCATTCCTTCTCAACCCTCCTTCTCCTTTCCTTTCCCTCCCACAGGAGGACACATGCTCGTCTGTGGCTCAGTTTCTCGGCATCACCGAGTGCAGCCTGGAGCAGCTCAACACCGATGGCTGTCCATCGGTGAGAGCTCCTTCTTGGCTCCTTCTTGGCTGCTCCAGGCTGCTCCAGGCATCACCGAGGACAGCCTGGAGCAGCTCAACACCGATGTTAAGGAGAGCTCCTTCTCGGCTGCATCTGCCATCTCCTTCTTGTCGAGTGGGTGGGAGGCCACTCGAGGGAATGACAAAAGAATTGCTATGGCCCAGAATTAACGCCTTGACCCAAACACACACCTCCTGGAGTCTTTGGCGAACTCCTTCTCGGCTGCATCTGCCAGCTCCTTAATGTCGAGTGGCAGCACAAAGGGGTCGCGATAGGCCAAAGAGGCAGCCATGGTGATACGGGTCACAACCACGATGACCTAGCGAGAGAGAGAGCAACTCACCTCCTCAAATCCTTTGAGAATTCCTTCTTGGCTGCATCTGCCAGCTCCTTCTTGTCGAGTGGCAGCACAAAGGGGTCGCGATAGGCCAAAGAGGCAGCCATGGTGATACGGGTCACAACCACGATGACCTAGCGAGAGAGAGAGCAACTCACCTCCTCAAATCCTTTGAGAATTCCTTCTTGGCTGCATCTGCCAGCTCCTTCTTGTCGAGTGGCAGCACAAAGGGGCCGCGATATGCGAGGGAGGCTGCGATGTCGAAACGCAACCCGCCCTACCCAGCCGCACCCAGCCCTACCCCGCGCCAGCTCACCTCCTAGAATCTCTAGCGAATTCCTTCTTGGCTGCATCTGCCATCTCCTTCTTGTCAAGCGGCAGCACAAAAGGGTCGCGGTATGCGAGGGAGGCAGTAATGGTGAAGAGAACCCCACCTCACCGCACCGCACTCCACCACACTTATGTGTAGAGCCCAGCTCCACCTCACTCACCTCCTTGAGTCTTTTGCAAACTCCTTCTTGGCTGCATCTGCCATCTCCTTCTTGTCGAGTGGGTGGGAGGCCACTCGAGGGAATGACAAAAGAATTGCTATGGCCCAGAATTAACGCCTTGACCCAAACACACACCTCCTGGAGTCTTTGGCGAACTCCTTCTCGGCTGCATCTGCCATCTCCTTCTTGTCGAGTGGGTGGGAGGCCACTCGAGGGAATGACAAAAGAATTGCTATGGCCCAGAATTAACGCCTTGACCCAAACACACACCTCCTGGAGTCTTTGGCGAACTCCTTCTCGGCTGCATCTGCCAGCTCCTTAATGTCGAGTGGCAGCACAAAGGGGTCGCGATAGGTCAAAGAGGCAGCCATGGTGATACGGGTCACAACCACGATGACCTAGCAAGAGAGTGAGCAACTCACCTCCTCGCATCCTTTGAGAATTCCTTCTTGGCTGCATCTGCCAGCTCCTTCTTGTCGAGTGGCAGCACAAAGGGGTCTCGGTAGGCCAGAGAGGCAGTAATGGTGAAAAGAACACCATCCTACCCCACCGCACCCTACCACACACCACCCCAGCTCACCTCCTAGAGTCCCTAGCGAACTCCTTCTTGGCTGCATCTGCCATCTCCTTCTTGTCAAGCGGAAGGACGAACGGGTCCCGGTAGGCCAGAGAAGCAGCGATGGTGAGCGCTGGAGCGAGGCAGTTGAATATCGCTCCGAAAATGAGCATCTGGGGGGATGGGGGGGTTCAGGGGAGGGGGACAGGCAGCATGACGGATTACGCGGCTCCTTCCTTTTCCTCCTCCCCTCATGCCAGGGAGGCTGCGATGGTGAGGGCTGGCGCGAGGCAGTTGAAAATGGCTCCGAAGATTAGCATCTGGGGGGATGGAACAGAGGGTAAGGGATGGACACGACAAGTAAAAGAAAGCAAGAAAGCGAGTGTGATACGGAAGGGAGGCAGCAATGGTTAGCGCTGGCGCGAGGCAGCTGAATATTGCTCCAAAGATGGGCACCTGGAGGGGTGGGCTGGGGGAGAGAAAGATAGAGACTTGTGGATGGGAGATGGGGTTTTCCGAGGCGCCTCCATATGAGGAGAAAGATAAGGGGGTGAAAGGTGATGCAACTGATGCACCTGAGGGAGGTGATGCACCCGAGGGAGGTGATGCACCCGAGGCGAGCGACACAAAATTGAAGAAGTGTTTTGAGACGTCTCAAAACAACATTTCTTCAATCACGAGGGGGGTGATGCACCTGAGGCGAGCGACACACAACTCACCTTTCCAATTGGGGGCTCCACAGGAATGGCGGCCAGGTGACAACCCAGGGAGGTGACAGCTGAGAGGCACGAGGGCGCCACATATGAGCGTGCTAGAGATGCCGTCCCTCATTCATCCAACGGGACCCACCTTGCCAATGCGGGGCTCCACAGGAATGGCGGCCAGGTGACAACCCAGGGAGGTGACAGCTGAGAGGCACAAGGGCGCCACATATGAGCGTGCTAGAGATGCCGTCCCTCATTCATCCAACGGGACCCACCTTGCCAATGCGGGGCTCCACGGGAATGGCGGCCAGGTGACAACCCAGGGAGGTGAGTTGCTCGTCGGGAGTGAATGCCCCGATGGTTTCCAGCAGCTGCACCGCATTTTGTACCTGAGAGGAGATGGGTTGGAAGGAGGGCAGGGGGATTGGGGAGGTAGCATCCAGGGAGGTGAGTTGCTCGTCGGGAGTTAATGGCCCGATGGTCTCTAGAAGCTGTACCGCATTCTGCACCTGAAAGCATGGGGGAGGGAGGAAAGAACAAGGAGAGAAAGGAGGTGAGGTGGAAAGAGGAAGGAGGTGACATGTCAGGGAGGTGAGTTGCTCATTAGAAGTGAATGCCTCGATGGTCTCCGACAGCTGCACTGCGTAATGGTAATGGTAACGGTAATGGTAATGGTAATGGTAATGGTAACGGTAATGGTAATGGTAATGGTAATGGTAACGGTAATGGTAATGGTAATGGTAATGGTAACGGTAATTTTAATGGTGGTGGTAATGGTAACGGTAATGTTAATGGTTGTGGTAATGGTAATGGAAATGGTAGTGGTAATGGTAATGGTATTGGTAATGGTAATGGTAATGGTAATGGTATTCGTAACAGTTATGGTAATGGTAACGGTAATGTTAGTGGTAGTGGTAATGGTAACGGTAATGGTAATGGTAATGGTAATGGTAATGGTAATGGTAATGGTAGTGGTAGTGGTAATGGTAATGGTAATGATAATGGTAATGGTAGTGGTAATGGTAATGGTAATGGACATGGTAATGGTAATGGTAATGGTTATGGTAATGGTAATGATATTTGTAGTGGTAATGGTAATGGTAATGGTAGTGGTAATGATAATGGTAAAAGTAATGGTAAAGGTAATGGTAGTGGTAATGGTAATGGTAATGGTAACGGTAATGGTATTCGTAACAGTTATGGTAATGATAACCGTAATGGTAGTGGTCATGGTAGTGGCAGTGGTAATGGTAATGGTATTTGTAGTGGTAATGACAATGGTAATGGTAATGGTAAAAGTAATGATAGTGGTAATGGTAATGGTATTCGTAACAGTAATGGTAATGGGAACGGTAATGGTAACGGTAATGGTAATGGTAATGGTAATGGTGATGGTAATGGTAATGGTATTGACAGAAAAAAACGACTGCACAAGGCAAGATGCTTGGTCTGCCACTTGCTGGCAGGCTGAAGGACAATCATACCAGCGTGGATAATTCACACTTACAGCCAGCGGTTCTGGTGGAGGAGCTGTCAAACACGTGGATATTGGTGCCTCACACCAATATGTATCCCCCCACCCGCCCCAACTTACAGCCAGCGGTTCTGGTGGCTGCATTGCTTTAGAGAGAAACAACTGCACGTGCCCCAACCCAAGATGCTTGATTTGCAAGCACAGCTCCTGCAGGGGCATCCTCAGAATCTCAAGACCCTCACAACCACCATGTATCCCCCCACCCGCCCCAACTTACTGCGAGCGGTTCTGGTGGCTGCATGGCGTTGGAAAGAAACAACTGCACGTGCCCCAACCCAAAATGCTTGATCTGCAAGCACAACTCCTGCAGCGGCGTCCTCAGAATCTCGGGACCCTCACACCAATATGTATCCCTCCCACCCGCCCCACTTACTGCCAGGGGTTCCCGTGGCTGCATTGCGTTAGGAAGAAACGATTGCACGTGTCCCAACCCCAGGTGCTTGATCTGCAGACATAGCTGCCCCCCACTCACTGTCAGGAGACTAGCAGCATGCCAACATGCAAACCTGCACTTACTGCAAGAGGCTCTGGTGGCTGCATTGCTTTGGAAAGAAACGACTGCACGTGTCCCAACCCAAGGTGCTTGATCTGCAAGCACAGCTCCTGCAACGGCGTCCTCAGAATCTCGGGCAGCTGAAACTCCAGCAGCGAATCATAAACCGCCTTCGGGTAGAGGTGGAAACAAATTCCGGGCTGCACACGCCCCGCCCGCCCCCTCCTCTGGTGGGCCGAGGCTTTGGAAATCCAGGAGGGGAGCAGGCAGGCCAGCTTGTTTAGTGCGTCGTAGGAAGTTTCCTTGGCCTTTCCGCAGTCCACCACGTAGACCACATCGTCGATGGTGATGCTGGTTTCTGCTATGTTGGTCGCTAGGACCACCTTTCTGAGAAGAGGGGATGGGGAGGGAAGGAGCAGAAGGTGAGAAACGGAGGGGATGAGTAGGAAGTAGCCTTTCCGCAGTCGACAACAAAAACGACGTCGTCGATTGTGATGCTGGTCTCTGCGATGTTGGTCGCCAGGACTGCTTTTCTGGAGGAAAGTGAAAGGAAGGAGCAGAAGGGGCAGAAGTGGCAGAAGTTGAGGAGCCGAGGGGAGAAAATCGCGGAGCAGCTCCTTTTCGCAGCCCACCGTGAAAACAACATCGTCGATGGTGATGCTGGTCTCCGCTATGTTGGTCGCTAGGACCACTTTCCTGGTAAGAAACCTAAAGAAACAGAGCAAAAAAAGGAAAGAAAAAATGTAGAGATGGTGAGGGGCCGAGGAGAATGAGAGACCATGTCGTCGATGGTGATGCTCGTATCCACTATGTTGGTCGCCAGGATAACTTTTCTGGAGAAAAAAGCAGAAAGAAAATGAAGGAACGAGAATGCCCGAGCACATTAATTGATTACTATATGCATGGTTGCGTAACAAAAAAACCCACCTGACTCCAGGAGGGGGTCGGTTGAAAATCTCCTTCTGGTGGATCGTCGGCATCGACCCATGCAGGGGCAGGAGCAAAACTTTTGACGGCTGCCCGGCGACAGGCATCGCCTTGAGCGCGTCCAGCAGCTTCGAGATCTCGTCCCAGCCCGTCAGAAAGACCAGCACGGCGCCTTCAGCCTCGTTCCGGCATATATGCTCCACCACTGATGTCACTAGATCGATGTCTAGTTTTTCAGGGGAGAAATTGGCGAGCGAATCCTGGGTTGGGCGGGAGAAGGCAGAGTAGTGCGACCATATGTCCACTTCCTGGGAGTGGAGAGGGGTGGAAACCGGTGGAGAGGGGTGAAGAGGGGTTATGAGGGATTCAGAGCGGTGAAGAGGGGTGGCACGCTGCATATATGCATCGCCTTGAGAGCGTCCAGCAGCTTGGAGATCTCGTCCCAGCCCGTCAGAAAGACCAGCACGGCCCCTTCAGCCTCGCTCCTGCATATATGCTCCACCACTGATGCCACTAGATCGATGTGTAGCTTGTCTGGTGAGAAGCTGGCTAAAGAGTCCTGGGTGGATAGGGAGAAGGCAGACTAGTGCGACCATACGTCCACATCCTGATGGGAGAAGCAGCACGGGTATGGGGCGGAGACGGGTGGAGTGGGGGGTGGTGGAGTGGAGGGTGGTGGAGAGGGGTGGGAGAGGAGTGGAGGGTAAAGAACGGTGGTTCTGCAAGTGTGAAGGTAGAGTAGTGCGTGCGAGCACTCGCGTATCTAGTGATGCAACTCCCGAATCAAGTTTTGAGTCGACTCAAAACTCGATTCTGCAAGTGTGAAGGTAGAGTAGTGCGTGCGAGCACTCGTCTATCTAGTGATGCAACTCCCGAATCAGACATTCTCACCTCCCATGCTTCTGAGATAGGATCTTTCTTCGCCACACTTGCACTCCTCTCCCTTCTCCCCCTCCCGTACCCCCGCCCTCCCCCTCCTCCTCCTCTCGAGAACCCCCCTCCCCCTCCCTGTTGGCTCTGGTCCCTGATGGGAATGCGAGTGCGCTCCAACACGTGCTCTAGGAAGAGTTGCTGTACCGGGTGTGTGAAGCCCTGGAAGAGTAAGGGATAGCAGAGGAAGAGAGTCAGTGGGAAATGATTGTATTGGACCACGAGGTAAAACCCCCTCCTCCTCCTTGCTGGCCCTGGTCTCTGATGAAAATGCGCGTGCGCTGCAACACATGCTCTAGAAAGAGCTGCTGCACTGGGTGCGTGAAGCCCTGTAAATACAATGGGGAGAGGGGAGGAGAGAGGTGGTAACAGCAAGATCAGGTCCCTGATGGGAATGCGCGTGCGCTCCAACACGTGCTCTAAGAAGAGTTGCTGCACCGGATGCGTGAAACCCTAGGAGTGAGGAAGAGAGGAGGTGGGGTAACAGAGTGGGGAGGGAGTGTCAAGCTGGTTTTTGAGAATTCTCAAAAACCAGGAGGGAGTGCCAAGAATGTGCATTGACGGGCACACAAGAGAACCCCCCTCCTCCTCCCTGCTGCCCCTGGTCCCTGATGGGAATGCGTGTGCGCTCCAACACGTGCTCTAGGAACAACTGCTGCACCGGGTGCGTAAAACCCTGTAGGAAGAGAAGGGGTAAAGGAGGAAGGGAGGTGATGGGGCATGAGCAGATGCAGATGGAGACACGAGAGAGCCCCCCTCCTCCTCCCTGCTGGCTCTGGTCCCTGATGGGAATGCGCGTGCGTGCGCTCCAACACGTGTTTTGAGACGTCTCCAAACATGCACGTGCGCTGATGAGCACGAGGTGCAGGATCATTCGGGGCGGAACGAGTGCGACGGCAAGGCAACAGCACAGCACAGCACAGGGCACCAATGACATCCACACACACACACACACACACACACACGCACGCACGCACGCACGCACGCACGCACGCACGCACGCACGCACGCACGCACGCACGCACGCACGCATGCACGCACGCACGCACGCACGCACGCACGCACGCACGCACACACACACACACACACACACACAGACACACACACACACACACACACACACACACACACACACACACACACACACACACACACACACACAGAGGCCAGCAGGCACAACCACTCACCGGGATGCGTGCCATGGGCGCTTTATTGAAGTATTCCGAGATAAGCTCTGCATTGATGGTGGCGCTCACGAGCACGAGGCGCAGGCCGGGGCAGCGGAGGGGTGGGCGGGGGCAGGAGGCCCTTCAAGGCAATGCGAGGGAAAGAATGTTCAGACAGACAGCCCACGCACTCACCGAGATGCGTGCCATGGGCGCTTTATTGAAGTATTCCGAGATAAGCTCTGCATTGATTGTAGCGCTCATGAGCACGAGACACGCACACATGAATGACGCCCACACCACACGTGTTCAGTGAACAACCCAAGACTCACAGGAATGTGCGCCATGGGAGCCTGGTTGAAATATTCCGAAAACAGCTCTGCATTGATCGTAGCGCTCATGAGCACGAGATGCAGGTCGGGGCGGCGGGGCAGCAGGTCTCTGAGAATGATCAACAGAAAGTCCTCGTTCATGCCCCTCTCGTGAATCTCATCCACCATCACATGAGAGACGCCAGCCAGGTCCGGTTGTTGCACCTGAATGGATGGGGAGGAGAGACACGCATGTCAGTAAAGCAGGCAGCACATGAAGCAGCAGACAGCCCACCCACTCACCACTCTCCACCCACACTCACCAGTCGTCGCAGCAGCACGCCAGTGGTGCAGAACAGCAGCCTTGTGTTCGGCCCTCGTCTGCTCTCCATCCTGATCTGATACCCCACGCTGCCCCCCACCTCCTCGCCTCTCTCCCCCGCCACCCTCCCCCCACCTCCTTGCCTCTATTGAATACTCGGTTCACCCCAAGCCCAGACAGCACTCACCAGTCGTCGCAGCAGCACGCCAGTGGTGCAGAACAGCAGCCTTGTGTTCGGCCCTCGTCTGCTCTCCATCCTGATCTGATACCCCACGCTGCCCCCCACCTCCTCGCCTCGCTCCGCCGCCACCCTCGCCGCGACAGACGTGGCTGAAATCCGCCGGGGCTGGGTGCAGATTATCATGGTCTGCGCTCCCCTGCCTGCTTCGACTTCACTCTCTAGGATAAACTGGGGCAGCTGAGTTGTTTTCCCGCAGCCTGTTTCTCCCGACACCACCAGCACCTGGGAAAATGCAAACAGTGGGGTGCAATCAGACAAAAATGGAAGAGGGAGTGGTGGGGAATGCATGAATGGGCAAGCCTTTGCCACCCTCGCCGCAGCTGGGTGAAGATGATGAAGGTCTGTGCTCCTCTCCCTGCCTCGATTTCGCTTTCCAAGATAAATTGAGGAAGCTGGGTGGTCTTGCCACAGCCTGTCTCGCCTGAAACCACTAGCACCTGGGAAGAGGGGAAGGGGGGATTGCAAGGGAGGGAGGGGGGTGCATAAACTAGCAAAACTTTCTCACCCTCACTGCCACTGACGTGGCTGATATCCGCTGGGGCTGGGTGCAAATAATCATGGTCTGCGCGCCTCTTCCTGCCTCAATTTCGCTTTCCAAGATAATTTGAGGCAATTGAGTTGTTTTGCCAGAGCCCGTTTCACCAGACACAACCAGCACCTGTGGAGAAATGGGAAAACACTCTTGTACGAGTGGAGTGGGTGGGCTGATATCTGCCCTCACCCTTGCTGCCACCGACGTGGCTGAAATCCTCCTGGGCTGCGTGCAGATGATGAAGGTCTGTGCTCCTCTGCCTGCTTCTATTTCACTTTCTAAAATAGATTGAGGCAGCTGGGTGGTCTTGCCACAGCCCGTTTCACCCGACACAACCAGCACCTGACGAAAGGCAAATGAGGGACCGCAATCAGAAGAGAGAGGAGGGGAAATCACATGAGTTTGCTGCCACCCTCTCCCACCCTTGCTGCCACCGACGTGGCAGATATCCGCCGGGGCTGCGTGCAGATGATCATGGTCTGCACGCCCCTGCCAGCTTCAATCTCGCTGTCCAGGATAAATTGTGGTAGCTGGGTGGTCTTGCCATGCCACAGCCAGTCTCGCCTGAAACCACAAGGACCTGGAGAAAGGAGGATTGGGAAAAGGGAAGCACTGCATGTATGAGTGGGTGTGCTGATATCTGCCCCCACCCTTGCTGCCACCGACGTGGCAGATATCCGCCGGGGCTGGGTGCAGATTATGAAGGTCTGCGCGCCCCTGCCCGCATCGATTTCGCTCTCCAGGATGAACTGGGACAGCTGCGTTGTTCTTACCACAGCCTGTCTTGCCTGAAACCACCAGCACCTGAGGGAAGGCAAACGGGACGGGTGCAATCAGAGAAGGGAGGCAAGGATTGCATGCCAATCAGCCTATCGGCCTATGTGCCGCCACGTGATAAAAGATAAATTTCGAGACGTCTCAAAAACTCTCTCTTACCACATCGAAAGGCAAACGGGACGGGTGCAATCAGAGGAGAAGGGAGGCAAGGATTGCATGAACCGACCCTTGCTACCACCGACGAAGGCGGGAGAGGGTGACGATTGGGATCTCCCGCCTCTCTCTGCTGCCACCCTTGCTACCACCGACGTGGCTGATATCCCACTTGGTCGCATGCAGAGAATACCGCAAGCAGTTGGGCAAGACAAGCTGTTATTGCACTCACTCACCTGGCTCTGTTTTCTGTACCTGGCTCTGCTGTTTGTACCTGGCTCTGCTGAAATCACCTGGTTCAGCTCAGCTGCATTCACCTAGTTCAGTAGAGATTCCTGCTGCAATCACGTTAGCCAGTAGCATACCCTCAACTCTGCTGAAACCACCTGACTCTGTTCCAATCACCTGAATACGCTGAAAATCACTTGGCTCTGTTGCAATCACCTGGTTCTGTTGCAATCACCTGGCTCTGTTGCAATCACCTGGCTCTGTTGCAATCACCTGGCTATTCTGCACAGCTCGAAGCAACTCCTCCCGCTGCTTGAAGGCTGGTAGGCGCTGCCTCTGAGCCATCATTGCCTGAACTGCTGGGGAGGACTGGCGGTGAATGCGGGGAAGAGGCAGGCAGGGAGAGAAGCAGAAACAGAGTAAAGGAAAATCCAATGTGCATGCGGAAGCGATTGGCAAGCTCCTCTTGGGGTAAGGGGGTCAAGGAGATTGGATTTTGAGACATCTGAAAACACAACTTTTATCATGCGTCGATTCAGAAGCACTTCTTGGAGCAAGGGTTCAAGGAGGTTGAATTGGAACTGCGACCTTACTATTCCTCTGTTCTGCTCGCCTCTCAATGCGCCAATCTGCTGCACTCTCAAAGCACGTGCTGCTGCCGAAGCGAACGGAAAACCTTGGTGACTGTTGAGTCCACTCAAGGTGGTATTTGAGTCAACTCAAATCAAAATGTGTCGTGTGCGTGTGCCATTGTAACGAGGTGACTTTTGAGTCGACTCAAAAGTCAACGCTTCAACTTGCTGTGCTGCACTCTCGAAGCATGTGCTGCTGCCGAAGCGAGTAAAAACCTTGTATAGATGGATGGGCACTTGTACACCATCAGTTCTCACCTACCTTTCGTCTGTTCTGCTCCGCTCTCAACGCTTCACTCTGCGCTCTCAGCGCATGTGCTGCAGTTGCTGGTGAAGCATCAGACTGAGATGACGCTGCAGCAACTGATGCTGGTGATGCTGCTCCTGCTGCTGCTGTTGCTGCTGCTGCTGTAACTGCTGGGACTGCTGGTGCTGCTGCTGCTGGGGTTGCTCCAGGGGCGAAGGAGGAGGAGGAGGAAGGGGCGAGGAGGCTTGACACGTGTTGATGGAGATCGGAGGAAACAGTGATCTGCGTGGGAAAGAACAGGGGGGAGGGGGGCACAGCACACAGTGGGGCGGGGAGGATGGCAGGGGATTTGACGAGGAGGAAGGGGCGAGGAGGCTTGAGACATGTTGATGGAGATCAGAGGAAACAGTGATCAGCGTGGGGAAGAAGAACAGGGGGGTTCGCGGGGGGGTGGGGGTGGAGAGGGGAGGGAAGGAGAGACAAAGGAGGAGAGGTGGCTTGAGAGGAGGAGGACGGGGCGAGGAGGCTTGAGACGCGTTGACGGAGATCAGAGGAGACGGTGATCTGTGAGAGAGGGAAGGGGAGGATTGGGGGGGAAGGGGATGGGAGGGACGGCACAACAGAGCAGGAGGCGAGGTGGCTTGAGAGGAGGAGGAAGGGGCGAGGAGGCTTGAGACGCGTTGATGAAGATCAGATGAGACGGTGATCTGTGCATGGTGAGAGGAGTGGGGAGGGGTTGATGGGAGGGGAGGCAGAACAGCACAAGAATGGGGTAAGGAGGCTTGAGACGTGTTGATGGAGGTCAGATGAGACGATGATCTGTAAGGGAGGAAAGGTGGGGAGGGGTTCACAGCACACGGTCGGGTGGAGAGGGTGGCAGGGGATTTGACAAGGAAGGGGCGAGGAGGCTTGAGACGTGTTGATGGAGATCAGAGGAAACAGAAATCTTCACGGGGAAGAACAGGGGGGATGGGGGCACAGCACACAGTGGGGCGGGGAGGATGGCAGGGGATTTGACGAGGAGGAAGGGGCGAGGAGGCTTGAAACGTGTTGATGTAGATCAGATGAGACGGTGATCTGCAGGAGAAGGGGAGGGATGCGGGGGGTTGAGAGTGCAAGGGACGGTAACGGAGGCAAGAAGGAAGGCGGGACGAGGACGCTTGAAACATGACGGCAGAAATTTATGCTTGATGTGAGGGGAGGGGATGAGCGAGGAAGGGAGATACAAGGGACCGTTTGGAAGGGAGATCAAAGGATGCGTGGAGGAGGATAGTGGCATGTTCATGGCTTTAATTGAATGGAGCGCAGGGAGGGAGACGGGCGGGAGTTGGGAAAGGGGGAGGGAAGGGGTGGGGTGAGAGGATGGGGAGAAGGAGAAGGAGGAGAGGGAGAGGCACCCTGCTGGCCATGCCACTGCTGCGGTCCCAAGCTCCCAGAGTCGATCCAGAGCGGAGTCTATCTGAAAGTGAGTCAATCTGAGTGGAACGAGCAGCTCACCTGTCGTCCAGATCAGCCCGGTAGCTGGGAAGAGGCACCCTGCTGGCCACTGCTACAGTTCTGGTGCTCTTGCAGTGTCAAGACAATGCAGAGTCAATTAGAAAGGGAAGCAGCTCACCTGTCGCTCCGACCGCCCATGCCTGTCGTCCAGATCAGCCCGGTAGCTGGGAAGAGGCACCCTGCTGGCCACTGCTACGGTCCCAGTGCCCTTCCCGTATGTTTGGCTGCAGGATATCGAGCAAAGAACAGGGAGACGGAATAAAAACAGTTGAGATGTCCTTCCTTGTGTCCCATATGTTTGGCTTCAAGGAAGGAAGAAAAACAAATAGTGGATAGGGTGATAGCAGGTGTAAAGCCTGACGATTTATGTTTGGGGTGTAGGGTTCATGTCAAGGGTCGGGTTTAAGGTTTAAGATTTAAGTTTGCAGAGGTTTTGGGCTGAAAGCTTACACAACGCAACACCCAAGCACCGCTCTAGACCACGCCACACCTATTCCCACTCACTCACAAGTACAGCCCTGCTTGCTCTGCCAGTAGCTGCAATTGCTCCGTGCCCTCTCTCCCATAGTTCTCTCTAATCACAATCTCCTCTGGTGAAGTCCCCCCTTGCTGCACGCCTGCTGCTCCCCCCACTGCACCGCTCCCCACCGCACCGTTCCCCATCGCACCGTTCCCAGCCGCACTGTTCCCCACCGCACCACCCCCTGCTGCTAGCTGCCGAAACCGTGCCGCCCATGCTGCGCTGTCCACTTGCTTTGCTGGGCCTCTCTGGGAAATTAAACAGGGAAGGCGGAACAGGGATGGGGATGGGCACGTGAGTGTTTTTGAGACGTCTCAAAAACCCCCGGTTATCCATGCTGCGCTGTCCACTTGCTTTGCTGGACCCCTCTAGGAAATGAAACAGGGAAGGCGGAACAGGAACAGGAATGGGGATGGGGATGGGGATGGGGATAATGATAGGATGGATTGGGATGAAGAGGTGATTTTGGCCTGCTGTTCTCTCCCATCTGCTCCCCCGCCTAACCTCCTACCCTCCTCTATCCTTCCTCTCTCCCCCTCACCGCATCCCCTTCCCCTCATCTCTTCCCCTTCACTCTCCCCTCCTTCCCTCTTCCATCCCTCTCCCTGACCTCCTTCCATTCTCCCTCACCTCTTTCCCATCTTTCACCTCCACCCCCTTCCTCACCTCTTTTTCACTTCCAACCATATTCTCCCCCTTCTCCTCACCTCTTTCCCCATCGCTGCTAGTCGCTCCGCGCGCCACGCCGGATCCCACCATCGCTGCTCCCCCCCTCCTCCCCCGCCCCTTCCGCCTCTCCCTCCGCCCCTTCCGCCTCCGCGCCCACCCCGCCTTTGGCTATTGGGCCCCCTCCCCCGCCGCATCATAACGTTCGAAGATGACTCAGATTCGTGCCTAAATTCCCGATATTCCGGCAGCTCTTCAGACTCTCTACGATCCCTGAATTCTCCAAAAATCCGCGATTCGATGAACTCTTTATGTTCTTTAAACGCTCTGGAATTTCTAGCTCTTGCAGCGAGTGACGACGATTTGGCCACGTGGCGGAAATCCCCGGCTTCAGTCGAAGGATGGCTCGTACGCGATATAGATCGCACACTGTCCACGCACTCTACGGTTTGAGATTGAAACGCTAAGTCGGCGGAGCAAGACCGCGGAACGCGGAAAGCTAATAACGGAGGCGCGTGCAGTGAGGATCGCGAGACCGAAGCAATGCAACTAGGGACGACCTTCGAGCTAGGCTTGAAAAGGACGGCGGAAATACGGCTGCACAAAAAGATCATAGACAGCGACCGAAACAACCCTAAAACGCCGTCGTAGGCAATCGAAACAGCGGAAGTGAACGATTATAAGCCAAGAGGGGGAAAAGTGGCTGCGGAGAGATCAGAAGTGATTCTGAAACGAGTGGGCCAAAACCTGTTGGTTCTCATTCTAAAAGCCGTGGGGATTGTGCGAGTGCGGCGCAGGCCCCCTCAATCGTAGTTCCACATTCGTACATAATCAAGGTTCTTGTCGGTGGAAAGCTTTTCAAATGGTGGCTCGCATGGTAAGTTCTCAACGCATGTGAACCGAACTGAACCGCATCTGACGAAACAGCGCGGCTGGGCGTCTGCCCTGGAAGGGAAATGGCGGGAATTTGTGATGAAAAATGACGCCGCGTATTCTCTTTTGTAACATCTGCGTTTCGCTTGCAGACTGAACCAAGGGACCTGACCACTACAACCAGGACCACCATCTTGATAGAGAAGTAAAATTCCACCCATGTGCTTCCATCATACATAGACATCCATACCATAGGGAGCGCTGCAAATATTTACACAAGCAACCAGTATATCATGCAAATTGTCACTGGCATCACTGCTGTTGACCACATCACATGGGAGCTTCTCTCAACAAGAAGCAATCCACATACAAGCCACTCTTCCACATCCCCGACTCCACCTCATGCAACCTCACCTCCCATTCCGTCTCCACCAAATCTCCCCCCAACCCTCTCCTTTTCCTCCCCGTCACCGACCCTAGCACTGCCACCCCCACCCCCACCTCCGTCCACCCTGCCCCGGGCAATGTCGACTCATTAAACACCACCCGCCTCTGAATCTCCACCGATTCCGACAATCCTGCGCCCGTAACCTTCACATTGCTGGTAACCAGCGCAGCAGGCCACTCAAACACCACATCCCGAGGCATCCAGGACTCCCCCAGGGTCGGATCCCGAGCCACTTTCCACCACAGCTCATACCTACACGATCGCACCGGCAGCGGCAAACTAAACCGGCCAATCAGATCAAACTCACTGACAGCGGCCAGGTGTGCAACCCTAGGGAATACCGAGCCTTTGCGCTGCACTTGCTGCCAGTAGCTCGAGTTGCTGCTCCATGCAATCCCCATGGCTTCTGTTGCGCTAAGGGCTGTCCTGATCAGGCCTGTGCCTGGGTCTACCTTCACTTGAATCCTGCCTGCGTCTAAGAACACGCCCAGGCATAACGCCTGGAAAAGCGTCTTGCTGGAAGGCCTTTTCAGGGGATCGGAGAAGCTGCTTCTGGGGAGAAGAGAGGCTGCAGGAAATGCAGTTAACTCAGCAGGCGCAAGAGAGACAAGAAAAGCAGTAGAGGCGGTCGAGGCAGAAGAGCTGGGAATTGAATGCTGGGATGGAACGGCAGAAGTGGGATCTGGAGCGGGAGCAGGAGCAACCTTGGGATTGTCGAAAGGCAGCCTTGGGATTGACAAGCGGTCTAGAAGCAGCTTCGGCGCGAAGGCGTGGGGGAGGAGGCGGCCCCAGCAGGTGTCGGAGTCAGCGGCGGCAGCCCATGCTTTGGAGACAGAGGCGAGACGGCAGATGGCGGTTGGAGGGAGGTGAGAGAGAATGAGGGCGATGCACTCGGGAGGGAGGTGGGGAGGCGGTCGGGGAGAGGTGAAGTGGGGTGAGGAGGTGAGAGGGAAGTTTGATGCGGTTGAGGTGGGTTGGGAGGGGTGGTATGGGGGATGGAGTGGTGCGGGTGTATCGTCGTCCAGAGATGAGGAGCAGAGACCCATGCTTGTGGATGGTATGTCGCTGTGGGAATAGCTAAGCTGAAAGGCCTCGGTATTAATAAAAACAACTTCTTGAGATTATGAACACCATCTCGTGAAGTTGTAAACGGTGCAGTACGATGGAAATGGGTGCTGACGGCAAACGTGATGCTCCAACAAAGATAATGGCGACGTTGACGACGAAAGCTGATGACGAAAGCTGACGACGAAGCTGACGACGAAAGCTGACGGCGATGTTAATGGCGAAGCTCTAGAGTCCTGTCGGACTGAGGTCGTGGCGCAGAGGTTTGGAGCTGTAGAATGCTGCTAGGTGGTGAAAAATATATCCGTTAAATCTAGGTGGGAAACATGGCGCTGCGGCTTGGAGCCACTTTGACTACTACAGCCATAGTTCCTGCACTTTCATCGTCAATGAAATCGTAAGAGCGAGCAGTAGCCTCATGCTGCAATAACTTTTGTTAGGGTTACAAATCCACCTGCCTTAAGGCCAGACAACATGGCAATACTGTCAATTTAGAATGTCTTAGCCGTAACTACCAACTTGTAATTGATCCGACTGCGGTATTCCTACGAGTGTCTCCGTAACTCAAAATTTCGACCTAAGTGCTGCTCGTGACTGGCTCCCGTTCCGTCTTTTCGCGATTGATCATACGCGTCAGAATCTCAAGCTACTGCGCCCTTGCTTGTAGAATACAGGGGTCCTAGAAAGGAGTCCAGGAGAAACGAGAAACGAGGGAGAAAGGAGAAATAAATAGTAGTCGAGGAGAGGAATGCTGGTGTAGGAACTAAGCTGTCAGAAGAAGGCGGGAAATGTGTCTTCGCTAAGATCTTGGAACTCGATACTGAGCGTAGTGAGGGAGTACACACTGACACGAATCTGGTGTGCAATGTTCTGATTCTTGTAGGGCAGATGGAAGAAAAAACAAGAGGCGACAAGGTCTTCCTAGGGTTGCGAAGCTCTTTCTGTAATGGTAAGTACAATTTAGTGAGTTGTACATCCTCAGAAAATGTACACAATAGCATGACGCTCAATAGGCAATTCCTAGGCAAAGAGTCGAAAATATGCACTCGCGGGATTCAAACCCTCGACTTTTCAATCGCAGACTCACACCCCAACGACTCAGCCAATGCCTCTGACTTAGATTTTCAACTAATTTGTATTGTGTAAATTCGTTGCGACGAATCTGACACATTCCTAGGGTTTGATCGACCCTTTTTCTCCCTTCCTCTTGTTAACTGAGCTCCCCGCTAGTCAGGTTCCACCAACTAATTCAAGTCTCTACTAAGGTGAGAACAATCCTAACCTATCAGGTAGTTTTAAGTTAGATGATACAAGCTAGGCTAACATGTGTCGATCTCTTCTCAAAGTCGTTTATAGGGAATGTTCTATGGTTTGGTTTTTTTCCTTCGTTTTCCTTGTCCTACTTGGAGCAATCCACCCTCCCTCTCCTACTTCCTCTCGTTCTGCCGACGAGCTACGGGAGTTTCCACTAGGTAAGAACTTACAGCTTAAAGTCGTTCGACTTAATTCTAACTTAGGTCGACTTAGATTCAACCTAGGTGGACTTCGATCTTGGTTTAACATATGTTGATTTAGGCCGGCTGGCCATTTCGTCCTATTTAATTGTTGATTTAGGCCGGCTGGCCATTTCGGCCTATTTAACTAAGTCAATTTGTTTAGTACAAGCCATTGGCTGTAATGTACCTATCTTAGCCTCATTCCATCCGTTTGTTTCCTTTCCATTTCAAATTTTCGTTTTCTTTTTCATTTCTGCATGAAGTTTTCTATCTCTCTTTCTCACTGTTTTCTCTTTCTCTCAGCAGCCTCTTCACTTCGTTGAACTTTTCTTCCTTCCATCTTGTAATTATTTCGTCTTTCATTCTTACGTGCTCTTCAACTTTCTTTAGTTTAACGTCTATCCGTTCATTTTCTTTTAGCTTCCTGCTGTAGTGTATCTTTTCTTTCCATACATGTTTTCTTCACTTCGTTTGTTGATTCCTTCTTGTTCCCTTCTCTTTACTGTCAGTTTTTTTTCCTTGTATAGTCGTTCGATTTCAGCGTTATCCGGTCTTATATTGTATTCTTGCGTCTCTCCTTCCTACCTGTTGCATGTTCTCCTTTCTCTCTGCAATTCCCTTTCTCTTTTCTTCCCATATTACTTCTTTCCATCTTACGTGCCCTCCAGATTTTCCCTGTTTCATTTCTTAACCTTTCTTATCCTTGCTTTCTTTTTGTCTCAACTATTTCTTTCCCTTCTACGCATTCATTTCATTTCCCTACATTGTCTAATCGTTTTGTTATGTCTTTCTGTTGCGTTCTTTGCTGATTGTTTTACCACTCCCCTCTCATTCTCATCTTGTTCCTTCTCTTCTCTTGCGTATTCTTCTTCTTGTCACTTGTTTCCTTTTGTTTGGTAAGTAGTATTACTGTTTTATTCTGTTGATGTCTTCACCACCCATTCTGCCCTCGTAACATTTTTATGTCTATATTCCTTGCTTTGATCTATTACTTGCTTCCATTCGTATATTCGCCGTCTCCTTTCTTTCATCGTCCTTGTCCTAAGCCTTCCTCTTATTTGATTGTTTATTGGACAAGAATAAAATCTTTCCCTCTCTCCCCCCCTCTTCCACCCACCATCCCTCCCTCTCCCCCCCCTTTTTTTTATGTTCAGAGGCTTTGCTGTTTGCTACAGGCTGCCAAGATTACTTATGAAGTATAACGATAATAGTTATGATTTGTGGAGCTGCATTGTATTGATAATTCTCGTTTGCATTGGTTTTATTGTTTCTATTGTTTCTGCATTGCCCTTGTGTGTGTGAAAGGATTGTGTCTGAGATTTTGTGTGAGCATATCCGTATGTGCGTCGTGTATGTGTCTTCGTGTGTGCACACTCATCCATATGCATTTATCATTGCATTAACAATGCGCATCTGTGGATTTTAAAAAGATGGTCAAACCATCATTTCCGAGAAGGTTCTTTGCCCACTCAGTGAGTGTGTTCATTTGAACTGGATTTGATGGATCTTGATCATTTTTTTGGTTTTCACAGATTGTGTTGTTTCATGTAACAGTTGGATGATTCAGGAACTATGCTATTGAGCTCCCCCCCATGCTAGGCAGGGGATGCGTGTCAGAATGAGGAATGAATGATGCATTGATGTTGGTTGGGGTACATATAGCTAACCCTAAGTTTTGTACCCCCTAAGACAAACCTCACTATAGGCTACAACATTTGACACACCCCCATAGCCTAAGTGAGGGGTGTCTAGCAGAACCAAACGAGTACGGTCACAAGACCAGTCCAAGAAACGAAGCTCAGGGTGGATCACAACGTCACCACACAGTCTGAGCACAAACAACAGTGGCCACAAGGCCAGTCCAAGAAGTAACAGAGGTATATAGAAAGCAAAGTAAACAGTACACTCAAGTCTAAGCAACACGAGAACCAGTGTCAACAAGGCCTAACTGCACACAGCACCTCTGGTGGTCACAAGGCGGAAGCGCCTTGGTGAAGATGTCTGCAGTGTTGGCCTCGGACTCCACAAACTCAAAGCGAGCCTGTCCACGCCTCTGCAACTCTCGCAGAAGAAAGTACCTGACGTGAATGTGCTTCACTCTGCTCTCCAGTTGTGGCTCGCGACAAAGGAGAATAGACGCCTTGTTGTCAGTGAACAAGGTCGGTGCAGAGCTCGGCCGCTCACCAAGGTCGGTGAGCAAGAAGGTCAACCAACGCAGCTCCTGTGCCGCCATGGCACCAGCGTAGATCTCAGCCTCAGCTGTAGAGGTCGAGACCGAAGAGGAGCGCGTGGACCGCCAGGAAACAGCTCCAGAACCCAGGCTGAAACAGTACCCCTGAGTAGACCTGTGAGTCTCAGCGTCGTCAGCGTAAGAGGAGTCACAGTGACCAGTAAGTACGACAGACTGCTGCCCTCCAAGAACTAGCCCCACGCCTGACGTCGTCGCTAGGTACTTCGCCACCCTCACAGCTGCTGTCCAGTGAACAGGACGGTGTCTCCCTGGCGCAACAAAGCGCGCAAGAACGCTGAGAGGGAAGGCGAGGTCCGGGCGAGTACAAGTCATCAGGTACATGAGGCAACCCACAAGCTCAGCGTAGGGACCACTAGGCTCGAACGGCTCGTCAGGAAAGGGTCCAGTGAGTCTGTGGTCAACAGCAAGAGGTGTGCGCTGTACTGTGGAGTGCTGAAGCCCGAACCGCTGAAGGACCTGCTGCACCATGTGCGACTGTGAAAGTGTAATGGTGCGAGCAGCTCTGTCCCTGGTGATCTGCAGGCCAAGGTAGTGGCGCAGCTCACCAAGATCAGTGCAGGTGTGTCTCTTCTGCAGTTCGGACTTCACG